CCTTAATAGTTGTACCTTGGTGGGGGAAGTATGAATAAAATCTTATGAATGCTCTCTAGATTCTATGCTTCCTGTTTTCTCTCTACTTTTCTTATGTCCATTCTCCCTTCTCTTCTCAATTCCTGTTCTTCTTCTCCTTTGTTTCCCTATTCTGTCCCTAGCCCACAATCCCACACATCTTGCCCTAGCTGTTAATGAGTCAGTATCCTGACATGATCTTCTCAAAAGGAAAATCCTCCTTTTCTCCATTAGTGTGAGAAGGGAAGTCCAACTGTCGATTTCCCAATCATTTAGGTTTTGGAGGAGAGAACAATCTGCCAGATTCCACCACTATACACATTAAAAGAAGCGATAACCTTCACCTATTTGAAATTGGCTATGCTGAAGATATCTGGTAACATCTCACTAAGAGGTTCCTCATCAATCAAAGTCAACCAAAATTTAAGTCTCCCCACCACAAATATGATGTTTTTTCGAAAAGCTGTCCAGCTTTTGTTGAACCATCTCCAAGGGCTACAACTGTATCTGCCTCTGTGAATTTTGGTGTTCCAAGAGCTGACATTTGGCCCTTTTTGTGACAACAAACCTCTCCTCCATGAAGCACCACTCTCTGTGATGAATCTCCATTTTCATTTAGCAATCAACACCTTATTGAAAATTCCAATGGATTTAATGCCCAAACTACCTTTTTTGGTCAATCTCTTAACTCCATCAGAAGTATTGAAGTGAAATTTCTTCACATTATTGCACAGTATCCATTCTCTTAACCACAAGAGTAGGAACTAGAAAAGGGATGAAAAGTTGACCAGTAACTCAGATGAAGCACTCTTGGTGAGAGCAAGTGTCCCGCCTTTTGATAAGGAATGTCTCTTCCAATTGGAGAGCCTCTTCTCTATCTTCTCCACATTAGGATCTCAAATCCCTCTATCTATGATCCATGGACCCTGTTAGAGACCCAAATATTTGATAAGAAAGTAGGCAATCTCATTGGTCTCCAAAGAAAAAAATCTGTCTTCACTAGATTATATAAAACATAGCCAAGCTTTCACTTCCAATTGCGTGACTTTTGTCTTTTTTATGAAGGTTCATACGTTCAGAGGAAGACGACATGAATCCGTCTTGGGAGCAAAGGCTTGTGAAGCGTTACTATGATAAGCTTTTTAAAGAGTATCCTTTGCAAGAAATTTTTATCAATTTCCTGAAATCCCTCTGGGTGTTATAGTAATTTCAAATTTTAGGTTATTTATCTGATTAAGGCTGATATTCTACCAAATAGAGGGTGATTGTATGTTTTGGCAATGTTGTTAGTTATAACTACTGAGGGATGTGGATAATAGGTATTAAAACATGTATTGCATGTTATTGTGCATTTATAGCTTGACTATGCATTTCTTTTAATAAAAATGGGTGCTTTTCTAGCGCAGACGAGTATCATTTTCAAGTGTTAGCTGTTTTATGTTAATGTATTGGCAGTTAATTATTTTTATCAAATATGTATAGAAGGAAGCAGTTATTCTGAGTTCATTGCCTTAAGACTATATCAAAGATATTGCATAGCTGACATGTCACAGTATAAGAGTGGAAAGGTACCATCTTATCATACTTAAGTTTTTTGTTTAAAAAAAATGTCATATTTAAGTTTTAATATGTTTATTCTGTACAGCCTGTCCTGATGGTAGTCTGCCCTTCTTTCCTTATCATTCTTTTGAGGAAACTTCTATCTGAATGTTCTTATACAATAGAAAAGCATTTCTACTTCAATTATGGTGGTTTGTTCAATTTTTTATTTATCGAATTTTGTTTGGAGCCAGGTATTCTTTCTTGGTTTTCTGTATTAGCTTAGGAGGACTGATACTTTTGCCATTGATAATGGACTTTATTTATTAATTTTTTTTTGAGATAGAAAGTAGAAAAATATATTAGAGTAGGCACCAAGGGGGTATCACCCATGTACAAAAGATTTACAAATCTAAGAGTATATCTACAATGAAATCAAAATCATCAAGGTTACAGAGGTGATGTCCCAATAATGTAGACCCAAAAAAGTGGAACCATTTGTCCTTGATGTTTCCAAAAGAATCCTCTTTGTCTTCGAAAACGCAGTTGTTTCTTTCTTTCCAAAGTATCCAAAAAATTGTAGGAGGGATTAGTCGGTAAGTCTTGTTACGTTTGCATTAAAATTCCCAAGCATTTAACTCCTTTTGTATAGAATCCGCAGGGCTCCAGCAAATGTTAAGGAGCCCCAAGACCATGGACCAAAGCTGGCGGGAGAAAGTACAGTGTAATAGGAGGTGATTGCAGGATTCGGCATCAGCTTTACATAGAGAACATCTGTTGGCCAGAATAATACCTTTTTTCATGCGGTTATCCAGAGTGAGAATCCTTTCCTTGGCGGCTTCCCATGTGAAAAAAGAGACCCGCTGAGGGGCCATACTTTCCATATCAATTTAGTGGGGAAGTCCAGGCTTCTAAATCTGTTGTGTTGAGTCAAGTGATGGTAGAAAGCTTTTACCGAGAAAATACCCTTGCTGTCAATATTCCAAAGGAGCTTGTCTTCAGTATTGGTGACTTTGATTGTGGATAAGAGAGTTAATAAGCTTTCATATTCAGTGATTTCCCAATCTTTCAGATTTCTAGAAACCGCTATATATTCCAGGCACCTCCATTTTCCCTGTCAAAAGCATTTTCGACCAACATTTTCTTGTCTTTGGTGATGTCATAAATGAGAGGAAATTGATGTTGGAAGTTTGAAGCGCCACACCATTTATCAGTCCAGAATTTGCATTTGTTCCCTCTGGCAACTGCCCGAGAAGAATAATCCATAACCAGCTTGTTAATGGAAGAGATGCCACTCCATAAGCTTTTACCATGAGTAGTATATTTTCCTCTGCTTCGAGGGTGTTTCCACTAATGATCCATTTGCAGTCAACAATTCTTTTCCACAAGGTGTCACTTTCATTCCAGAATCTCCAAATCCATTTGCCATGTAGGACAACCATTGATAATGGACTTTATATTCAACTCTTTTTATCTGCTGTAGATGTCTGCTTTCTTAATAAAGAAGTATTAAGTTTATTTTAAAAAAAAATATTAAGTTTATTTAAACAAAAAAGAAGTATTATGTAAGCTTTCTCCTTTAATAGTTCTCCTGATCTTAATAATTCCTTTCAGATTGGTTTGAGATGGCGGACAGAGAAGGAAGTCGTATCTGGGAAAGGTAATATTTTTCTCCACTTACTGATTCGGTTAAGATTTTTCATCTCATTGTTGACTCTTCAAAAAATTTCTCCACCTTAGAAAAAATTACTTTTTTGATTTTGGTGTTTGTTATTTCAGAATTGTTATTGTAGTTTCTTTGCAAGGTACTTGTATGATGATTTTTTTTCTGAAGAATTGTATGAAGATTGTTATGTGCATTACACTAGGCTTTTAATTTCAAAATAGTATATGATGAATTTGATGTTTATTATTATTTCAAAATAATATATGGCTAATTCATTTTGATTTGCTCGTGTCCTCTCTCCTAAGACTTGAGCTCAATGTTATTTTTGTTCACATCATGTTTATTTTCAAATTGAAAACTTATTCTACCAGAAAATCTTCCCTCGGGAAGAATAAAAAGTAACATCCTTTCAAGTTATTCCGTATCATATTAAATTTGGTGGTCAGCTTTCTTCTATAGCTTCTGATTTGTTTGGCATGCTTTAATTTTACAAACTGTACATAATCTAGTATTTTTCATTCTAATCATTAGTAATCTGGATGATATTTTCTCAATAGGGTTATGTTTTTAGCCTGTTTTTAGGAATGGATCCCAGAATTTTTATTCATGGATAAATGAGTTAATGGCTAAAAAACGAAGCCTGATAGTTTAAACTTCATGAATGATTTGACATCTGAAGCCAGTTTCACACAGATCAGATGATTCATCTGAAATCTAGATATATGTAATTTTCTCTGGACTGTTTCATTGTGTCATCGAAGCTATAATATAAGATAAGTATGCTTGTAAAAATGTGGTTAATAGAATGTTTCTATAATTTCATGGTGTCAACTGGATGTCAAAGCCAATTTGGGCAAGACAAATATGTAGATGTTGATATATCGTCTCTCCCTCTGTCTCTCCTACCATCTGAATTAAGAACGAAAGGAAGATGAAAAAAATTAAATAAACACTTCTGAACTGGGAGAGAAATCGTCCTGATCTACTAAAGAAAAGACTTTAATAGTACTTTCATAGTACTTTCTGTCAGTGTAAGAAGAAAATAGGGTGCTTTAATGTCACTAAGAGAAAGCCTTTTTTTTTTCCTGAATAAAGAGTTCTGAATTGAAGCCTTGCCATTCCTGTCAGGGCAGTTCATATGTGGTAACAAGCATTGTGATGAGAAAGATGGTTTGGCGAGCTATGAGGCAAGTGTTTGTGCCTTTACTTACTGATTTGATCTCTTAACTTCTTTTAGCTTTAATATAATTATTTAAGTTGTTCGTTATAATGTCTTATCTTCCTTGATTATAATGAACAGTTTATACGGTTTGTATTGTTATAATTTAACTATCTATCATGTTTATCTAAAAAAATATAACTATGTACCATGTGATACATAGTTATATCTAAGTGTCTATATATATTTTAATATAGCACTATTTGATGATGTTGAGAATTATATTAATGCCCTATTTTACTTGTTGGTTACGAGTCTCTAATATTGGGTATATCTAAGTGTCTGACTTGGAAATTTTATTTGGATTCAATCACTAACAATCCAAAATTGGATACTAGTACTTGGATTTGTTTGATATAAAAAATAATAAAACTAATATAAGCTTTAGGTAGTTAAGATGATTTTATACAGCCATTAGTACAAAAAGATAACAATATTAGTACTATTGACCGCATATTATTTACAGAAAGAAGTTCAAGGTATAGACATTCAAGAATTAGCAGTCTCATTTTTATGTACTCTTTCACCTTCTAAGTTGAGTCTCTTCCATCATCGTAATAATTCTCCATCATAAGTTTTCAGTACACACATCCAATGTCAGACAGAGATCCCACAAGCATACTAGGGTCATGTCATGTCCAATAAGAGTGTAAGCCTAAAATTGAGGAGTCCATGCAACATAATTGGTCCTTTAGACAAAATAACTTTTTCTCACTTTGTTGCAATAGATATTTTTTTAATCTTTCTTTTCCTGCTGTTATGATCGTTTAAATTTTGGATCTTATGTTTGTATTAACAACTAAACTATATCGAAGATATCTTTACCAAAAATGTTAAAGAGACATTTGGAGATGGTGAGGGAAGCAGGAAATGGCTTGTGGAGGTCTTGCGGAACCTTAATGATTGGGAAATCAATGAATATGGAGTACTTTTTGAGTACATTAGAGTCAGTTACTTTAGAGTCGCTTATGCTGAACGAAAATTATAGCCCACCGGTTTGGTCACTTAGTGTAACACCCAACAAAACTTTTTTTTATTTATAAATATAATTTTTTTATTTAATTTATTTTATTGTATTTTATTTTATTTTAATTTAGTGTAAAAATGGAGTAAAATTGATGGAGAATTAAATTGAAAACAATTTTGAAAAAAATGGGTGAAAAATTGGGTTCTGAGAGTATTTTTGAAAGAAAAATCGGAAACCAAGGGTCAAAACGCAATTTGAAAAAAATTTGTCACTTCAGACGCCTGTTCAGTGGCCCCGATCAATTAGGACGCGCCAAGTGGCAGAGGTGCTGACGGGGGAGGCCATGCGGGGGAGCCACGTGGGTGATCCGCGTGCGCGTGATCGAATGGCTGAGGTCCGTTCTCGCGCGCACGGACGACCTGGATGCGCTCCCTCCCAAACGCAATCGAACGGCCAGATTAAAAGCGATCGGAAGGCCCAGAGTGAATCACGATGGACGGCCCAGATTGGATCGCGATGAACGACTCAGATTCACTTCCTATTTAATCACGATCGGACGATCCAAATCAAACGCGATGGACGACCCAGATCAAAAGCGGATAGGTATAAATAACCCTCATCCGCATTAAACCCTAACCCTAGCCGCCAGAACCTCTCGCCGGAGAAGACGACCCAGCCGCCGGGAAGTCGACTGCCGCCACCCGCCGCCGCACCGGAACCCTTTTTGACCGCCAAAAAAGATAAAAACTCTCTTTTGCACGAAATTCAATTTTAAGCTCACCCATGACCAAATCGGAGTGAAAAGACCGGCCAATTGGCCGGAAAACACCGACGAAGCCCAGCGGTGCCGCAGCGGAAAACTTTACAAACTGCCTCCGATGAGACCCTTTCCGATTCCCGTTTCGCATAATTTTTTCATCGTTGTGATCACCGTTTTCTTCTCTATAGGTTGACTGAAGCGAAACATCCAACTGCAACGTGAGTCGGAGGAGCCGCCGCACCGGCGAGTTTCGACTTTTTGTGTTTTTTTTTTGCCAAACGAGGCCCTTTAACGTGTTTGCTCGCAGAATCGATGTAAAATCGACCGAATTCGGCCAAAAACAGCCGACCTAAGGCGGATCGTCGCCGCAGGCAGCGTCGCTGGAGTACGGCAGAATTGCCGTGCCGGATTTTCGAAATTGGCCGAGTGGGTTCTGGGACTGATTTTGGGTTTATTTGGAACATTTATAAGTACTATAAGCGCGTTTGAGTTTCCGGAAAAAAATTCAGGGAACCCATGGACCGCCCCATAAACGCAGTAAACCGTTTAGCTTTTCGGTATCAAATCGAGTAAGGATCCCTCACCCTATTCTCTATCATATAATTGAAGTTTAAATAAAAAATAATGTGGTATTTTGTACAAATTAAATAAATGTGCATAATTAATTACGGATTACTAATGAAGCTCGAGCCGGAAATTACTCTCTGTTGATCTATTTCACAGTTTAAAAGCATGATAGTATCTGATTATTCTATTTTATGGTTTGAATGCATGTATTGCTGCTTTACGTGACTACTGTTTGATTGGGATTTGAGATATGATTGCATTACCTGATGCATGTTTATTTGTTTATGTGATTACGTTTGATTTAGTAATAGATACTAGACTGAAAAAAAGAAAAGTTATGTGATCAAATAAGCAGATGTAACGACAGCCTTACTAGATATGTTGGGAGATGGTGGACGGAGCGGGTACATAGGGAACCCTACTGTAAACGTTGTCTCATACCGGACGGGGTATGGGGACGGCCCGCTTCACCCTTATACCGGATGGGGTATTGAGATTTAATGTTTTGGCGCTCATACCGGACGGGGCATGGGAACAGTCCTATAATTGAGATTGTTGAAGGAAAGGGTTCATGTGTAGCGGGAACATCCCTATGAACCTTCATAGATATTAGTAGGCTGGTGAAAAGGAAAACAGTTATGATTTGGTTTATTGTTAATAGATATGAATTTATGATATGTTTTATGTCACTGATTGTTCATAAAGTTATGATCTGTATGTTATTATTGTCTCCATAGATTGTTTTCATAAATTTCACTATGGTAAGTGAACGGTAAATGATTTTATGATTGATAAATGTAGTGGTTTAAACTTAATGCTCCATTAGTGGTTTTCGATTTTATACCAACCTTTGATTCTGTGTTGGTGATATAGTGTAATATCCTTACTGGAGTAGTGTAGCTCATCTTTTATTTAATTATTTTAGATCAAGAGAATTAGGTTCCAGAATTCGATCCACAAGAAAAGTGCGAGTAGATGTTAGATATTTTCTATTTGTTTTCTTATTTTTCGTGTTTCTTTTAAAGAATTAATTCCGTAATATTTTTAAATACTTTTAAATTATTGTGTAAGGAATGTAAAGTTTAACCTTTTATTTCGCTTCCGCACTTAAGTTATTATATATTCCCTTTTGGATTTCTAGGGCTGTTACACTTAGCACTACAGGAAATTCACTGTTGGGTCCCTCTACAGATACCTGGCTAAGAAAGAGCCCATTGAAAGCAATTTTACATACAAACAAATATGGAAGGTGAAGGCCCCACCAGGGGTAGTTTTCTTCGCTTGGGAAGCAGGCTGTGGGTGTATCTTGACATTGATAAGCTGAAAAAGAGAGGAAATTTGTGGTAAAGCAATGCTGCTTATGCAAGAGGGCGGAGGATTCCTGCAACCATGTTCTACTTTGGTGTCCCATTGCGCATAGCTTGTGGACTATGGCATATGGGATTCTTGGTTTCAATTGGATTATGGCAGGCATTCTAAGGAGTGAATTATGGGCATGGAAAGGATTGACTGAGCAGAAAAAATATTTGGGGCTTATCCCCCTCAGAATCTTTTGGGTAGTGTTAAAAGAAAGAAATAAGGGAGTTTTTGAGGGGGTGGAAGAAGGTATTAATAAGATTAGAGAGAAATGGTTCCAAATGCTGGATTTTTTGGTTATCCGCTGTTGTACTCCATGAAAAATTTAGGATAACTAATTGATGTTTTTACTGACTTGTAAATATTTTTGTACATGGGTTTGCATCCCCTTAGTGGCTATAATGAGTGATACATTTTATATTTGTTATTTGAAAAAATTAAAAAGAATCTTCACCTAAAAAGAGCAAATATCCAATTTGGTCCAAAGTATTTGTCGAAGAATGTACCATATATAACTAAGAGAGAATTAGGTTAAAGAACAGTAGGGTAAAATAGACCCTATGTAATTAATTATTTGGTTCCTTTTCGGTTCTAGAAAACCTTTATATAGAAGACTTTGATATTCAGTAAAATACATACTCAACTATTCTCAACATGGTATCAAAACCTTATGAAAAAAACTTCAGACCTATTTCACAAATCCTAATCGATCTTCATTGTTTGAAATAAGAAAAAAATTCCCAAGGGGCCAGCTTTCATTGGCGGCCACCACATCCTTACCGCTGGCCACCAGACCCAAGTCGGCCTTCATAGCTAGGCTCTAAGCAGCCTCCATAGCTGGAGAATGCACATTGCTGCCTTTTATGCGACTGCACTATCCGGGCAGCCAGCTATTGGTGCTGCTAGTCACACCTACAGGCCCTGCTCCAGCCACAGATTGCTCCAACTGGACCTGCACCAGCTACCACTAAGCAGGCTTGCCTAGCTAGAACAACCGCGCACCACCAAAGCAACCCCTTCAGTTGTGTGTCCAGCCTCTATCTGCATGCAGCCTAGCCATACATAGCTAGTCCTGTGCCACTCTGCCCAGCAAAAGCACCTCACCTCCAGCCGCGTTCAGCTGTTGGCCCAGTGTGCATCTCAAATAGCAGCAAACCCAGCTGCAGGCAAGCCACCTAGCTGTGCGGTTGCCACCACTTTCTGCTCCAACCACTCAGCCACCTTGTTGGCATTGCACCAGTAGCCCACTCTAGCTGTTGGACAAGCTGTTGCTGCGGTATACTGCATCATTGGCCAGCATCTGCGGTGATTCTTTTTGCCACTATCCAGCCACAACAAGCGGTATATTTCACCTACTAAACTGATATTTATTGCCTAATTTTCGGATCATGTCAGAAGTAACCTTGCATGGCAACTTCAAAACTCATTAGATTCAAAGTAGAGATTGAAAGACAAAGGGTTTGGCCCTTGGAGAAACCCACAGGTATAATTAATTGGCACACTCGGTATGTTTTCTACTTTACATGAACCAAATGTCTCAGATAACCTTTTGTACTATCCTCAATTGTAGATTCGGTAGTCACACATCACATGACCAACTCTAAATATTTTAACATCTTGTCCTGTGTTCCAATAGTAAGAAAATAGTTACCACCGATGGTTCATGAATCATTGTAGCAGTAGTTGAAAATATAAAATTTAGTTCCCGTTTTACACTTAATGATGTGCTTCATGTTCTCAAATTATGCACAAATCTTATTCAATGTGCAAACTATCACATGATATCAATTGCAAAGTGGTTTTTTTTTCATCTCATTGTGAATTTAGGATCAGTCGGCGGTGAGGATAATTGGACATCTGAGGCACAAAACATATTACTTCTTGGATACACTTGAGATGCCATATTCCATCCTCTCCACTAGTAACTTATGTAAGATGGTTACACTATAAATGATTGGGACATTATTCCTTTTTTATTCTCGAAGTTATATTTTCCTCCTTGTTTAAAAGTTTCAATAATGAATATTTACATTGTAATACATTTGAATTGACAAAATACAAACGGGTAAAGTTTTCTCTACGTGAGTATGGTCAATTAACCATTCTAGTAAACATGGCCAAGAAGCTGGAAGCCATTGAGAGAAGGTTTCTTTGGGGTGACATGGAGGATAGAAGGAGATATCATTTCTTGGCGTTAAGCAATTCAGAAAACCACTATCTCTTGGTAGTTTGAGTTTGCGGTTTTTGGTTGAGATGATGAGGCTTTGCAAGGTATGTTGTGGAGGTTTTTGACCAAGGAAGAAGCCCTTTGGAGAAGAGCGATTGTAGAAAAATATGGCATGGATGAGAGAGGCTGGTTCACCAGAGTGGGTTCGAGACCACATGGGAAAGGCCTATAGAAAAAAATTAGTTTATGCAGGGATTATTTTTAAGTGAACATCTGGTGGAAGGTTGGTAAGGGGGATAGGATCAGATTTAAGAAGACTAGTGGTTGGAGGATGGTACACTTTACGTTATTGCTCAACATAAAGAGATCAAGATCCGCAATTCTTTTGTGGAGGTTGAAGGAGGGGTGAAAGAATGGTAGCTCTTAGTGATGAGAAACCTGAATAATTGGGAGATTGGTGAATATGAGAACCTGTTGAGCACTCTATCCTTGGTGACTCTAGATGGGAGCGATGATATTCTCCTATGGCGTGGTACAACAAATGTGTCTTTCACTGTCTAATTTTTTTATAAGCAGCTGTTCAAGCATGATGGTAATAGCTTTACTCTCCCATTCAGATAGGTCTGAAAGGTCAGAGTTCCTCCTCGTGTATGGTTTTTTGCATGGGAGGCCAATAGGGGGGTGTATTCTGATAATCGATAAAGTTAAAGAAGATAGGATAAGGATCTTGTTGAACGCTTGTTATCCTTTACAAGAGGGCTAAGGGGACTTGCAAACATATTTTTGCTATGATCTTCTGTGGGTCTTCAAGCCTTTGGAACTTTGGGTATATAGTCCTATTTAGTGTATTAGCTGGATGATTAACCAGGTTTCAGTAAAGAAAGAAAAATTTGGGCGTGGAAAGGATATGGGGTGGTA